CTAACTAACTAACTAACTAACTAACTAACTAACTAACTAACTAACTAACTAACTAACTAACCTAGGCAGTAACCTATTGCTGAGAGAACAGGCCAGAATGACAGGACCACCCGTGAGGTGCTCTTGTATGGTGAAGATCTGAATGAAGGAGGAACATTGAGGCCTCCCATACAAACACCCATTAAGCATCAAAGCGCCCAAAAGGCACCACATTCAGTCACCATTCTACACCCACTGATGGGCAGTGAGGTCTGTATGCCACATCCAGTGAGGACACGAAAACTACTTATCTCAATCTCTACTGTTTTTTTTTTTTTCACAGTATCTGGCATTCAATGATATATGGAAAAAAAATTTAAGAAAAAAGAAAATAGAAAGATCTCTGACCAAGTGGCTTTATGTGCGAATTCTATAACATCTTTGAGGGACATGGAAATTTTTGCTTAAGTCATTCAAGAAGAAGAAAATGGACAACTAAAAGATAAGGGGGGAGGGATGGCAGCTCAATATTAAAGGAAGTTTCATGAAATGGGATGCAGACCTGTGTCTTATTTACACGTCTCCAGCCATCACACCATGTGGTAAAAACCCATGTGAGTTTGCCATGGTGTGAGATTCCTGTCTTGCTCTGGAGTAGCCCTGGAGGGTGCTCTCTTGTCAGATTTCTAAGGATCTGAAGAAATCAAATCTTACAGCAGATTATGTTGGAGGTTAAGCTCCTTCTATAATGAACTCTTCTTCTTGTTTGGTCCACAGATATGGCAAGATCTGAACATGACTGGACTTGACAGAATCAGAAGCAGGGAAGCCCACTAGGCTTTTCAAACGTTGCTTGAAAATAGAATCTATATGATTAGCAATGGTTAGCCTACAATCCCACAAACATCCCCCATCCAGTTCTGCTCAGTGTCTCTGTCTTGGTGACCTACTGGCTTGAAGTGGGCAGTTGAGCGGCTGTCTCCTTCCCATGCTAGAAATTTCCTGACTTGCTGTTTGTCCTTTGACAATCTGCAAAACTCCCCTCATTTCGGTCTTCTCCTAAGTGGGAGAGGTTGAAAAGCAAAGAAAACAAGGAGGAGGAGGAAGTGCCCGGCGCTCAGTGAACCCTCAAGTGTGAAAGGCTAATCCAGAAACCACTTAGTAATCACCGCCATGAGGTCAGACCAGTGGCATCTCCTGCTATGCACATGCTGCCTCCTCCACCTCCTGCAGAGCCTCTTCCTGAACCCAGGTCACCTTCTCAAATCCTCACCTCGGCGTCTGTGCTTGGCACCAGGCCCTTCCTGGGCCACAGCCTCCACAAGTCGCCAGCTGCTGCGGAGTTACCACAGGCCTGTTTTCAAGGCACTGGCCTGTGCTCCCTGGAAACAGAAACCTGGGTGTAAATGACTATGCAGTGCCCTAAGGCCCTGACTGTGCTACAGAATGTGTGTGTGTTGGGGGGGGGGGATTTCCAGGATGTTCTAATGTGAACCCTGGAGGCAGGACAGTGCCTGGAACTCGGCCGCACACAACGTTCAGAACAGGGCTCATGGGTCTGTCATGCTCAAGGGAACAGTGTTGAAAGTTATTTACGTCTTAAAATGTTTGGCTGATGGCCAAGTAACATGTTACTGTTGGTGGGTCCAAGCGAAACTCCAGTTCCCCAAACTCCAAAAGGCAGTCCAGATATCCAGACATGAGCACGATCTGAACTATAGGAGGATCTCTGGTGGTTAGATAAAAGCCAGCATTTCCAAGTGGGTTCCATAGTAATGGGGACAGGGGCTGTCTCTGACATGAACTGAGTGGCTGGCTCTTTGATCACCTCCCCCTGAGGGGGGAGCAGCCTTAGCAGGTCACAGAGGGAGACAATGCAGCCACTCCTGATGTGACCTGATAGACTAGGGTCAGAGGGAAGGGGAGGAGGACCTCCCTTATCAGTGGACTGGGAGAAGGACATGGGTAGGGAAGAGGGAGGGTGGGATTGGGAGGGGAGGAAGGAGGGAGGTACAGGGAGGATACAAAGTGAATAAACTGTAATTAATAAAAATAATTTAAAAAAATTTTTTTAAAAAGCCAGCATTTCTTGGGAACTTGAAAAGCCAGGTTTTCTCTACCAGAGGGAACTACTTCCTTATCACTGGCAGAAAGGACAAATCCTTACGTGTGGCATCTATCAAAGGCCATGCTGGCCTCCAGGCTTTCTCCTATCACAAATACCTGTTACACATTCCAGATTCCCAGCCCTTTTCACCTCCTCCCCTAAAACTCCCTCCAGCTCATGGCTTTCTCCCCACCCCCCACCTGCCAGCTACTCATTCTCCTTATAACCCTGCTATTTTAGACATGCACTCCCTCTTTGTCCCCCCCCTCTTGCTCCTCCTTCCATGTTCTTCTGTTTCCTCTCTCCTCTTTCTCTCTTGCTCTCTCTCCGTCTTTTCCTGCTTCTTTCATGGCCCGGTCCAGTCTGCTGACTATGTTCAGTTTATTTCTTTCTCTCTCTGCTCTAGACTCTTCCAGATTCCTCTGGCTGTTCTCTCTCTCTCTCTCTCTCTCTCTCTCTCTCTCTCTCTCTCTTATATCTACAACAAAATCCTTCCTCTTAACCATACCATGGAGTGGTTAAAGGGGCCTTAGAGTTGGCACAGAATATACCCAGACAACAAATTCTCAGCACAAAGGGAATTTTATTACCCCAGAGGAGACAAGTCGGGGTAGGGGGTTTTCTCTGGATTGGAAAGACAACAGCAAGTGTCTCTGCAGCAGAAAAAAAAAATGAGACTGTGTTAGGACAAGCTGGTAAATCCTGACTGGTCATGCTAGCCAATGTAGCCAAACAATGAATTTTGATTTCTAGACCTCCGTGTTTTGATAGCTGGACCTTGGAGTTTCAGTCAGGCATAAGGAAGTGGTCAAGTAAGGGAATAGACCTTTGTGGCTAGCTTTATGAATGCAATCTAACGGTGTAACAAGGCCCAGGGAAGAGGGGAGGGCAAGACGTGATGGCGCCATGTTTGCAATGCTTGGGCCTGTTAGAGAGCCCCTCAGCAGTCATGTCATCAGCTTATACTACTGCCAGGCAATTTCGCCGATTGGTATGGGTGGCAGGGGGATAGAGTGATTTAAAGGAAAGGCATCGTTTCTTGTATGTGTCTAATATAGAGGAAACAGAAACAGGGATTGAGGATCTAGGCTGGGCTTCCCTGGTTCTTAGATTCATTCTCTGTGACATTCAATCCATGGGCTCCATTTTCCACCAGGCCCAGACCCCCTCTGGGGGCGTGAAAATCCCCCTCATCATTCTGCAGTTTCTCTTTCAGTGGCCCCTTGTTGCATCAGCACTGGGTGGGAACAAGCAGACAAGGTAGACAATAGCCCGAGAAGGGGACAGATCCAGAAAACAGGCTAAGACCAGAAGTGCAGCGAAGGGTCAAAGGTTCCTGAAAATGACCCCCTAAAGAAGCTTCCTGGTGCTTGCTGACTCCACTGGATTCTTTTTAATTGTTCCCAGTTCTGAGGATATGGATTCTGCTCTCTTCCATCATTACAACTTTTCTGTTCCGGTTTCTTCTATTTCTCTTATACGTCTAAGGAGTAGGATGCCTCCTCTTAACATGGAATTTCTCCACTACTTTATTTTTTCAACTGTTTTTTACTGCCAAGTGGCTGGAGAGAAAAAGAGCACCACAAGTAAGAAGATTCCAATGAACAAGAGCGTTATAAAACTGTAAAGTCATTGTCCTAGTGGTCCTTGATAATTTTTGAAGCACCAAAGAGGATTAATGACTAATGGAGATCCACCTGGCTCAGAACACATGAAAAAACCATGCCCATGTAACTATTTAAATGTAACACATCTCTCCTCAAACTCCTAAGATACCCTGGCTTCAGAAACTTACTTTTATATACGTTTGATATGAAGGAACTCAGTCCTTCCTTTCCCCCAACGCCTTTTAGTTTTGTTTTATTTCACTGACATTCTCATAGAGACATGACCATCGCTTCCACTACCACCAGCACAAATGAGATACTGCTCTGGAAGGACAGGAGCCACCTCTGGGATGCTAGAGAGGAAGAGCCCCGCCTGGGGAACCACTTCTTTTGGTGGTGCTGAAGGAGGGGTGTTAGAAAGGTCCTCGTGAACACACGTGCTCCTGTCATCGAACGGAGTGAAAGGGATCGTTGTTCACTCTACGTGCTTGTCGACAGAGTGTTCTTGTGCACAGCTGATGTTAACTTGTCTAGCTTTTAGTGGAGAATCCCCTACAGTGAGGGTCGAGAGACAGTGCCTTCATAACCGAAAGGTTTAGGACCTCTCTTCTCCAGTACCTGGGAGCAGCCGAGGCCCCACCCATCAACCAGGAGCAAACTGGCTACGTGCAGCGTCTCCTTCCTGGAGGACACAGTGTTGTTTCCAGGTTCCCGCTGGAGGATATTACAGTAACTTTCAGTGGTTAATGAATAGCTTTCCGCTGCCTGCTTCATTTAATTGTTCAAAGGCCGTTTGTTCCTGTGTATAAGGCTGTGACCTGGCTAATGAGTGCACTTTCCTGAGCAGGCCTGGAAGCAGAGGAGTGGCAGGGTCAGGCGGGCTGCAGAGAAGAAAGGATGCAGAGCAGGGCTGGTCTGGTTGTCTGTGCCCTCTTCCTCTTCACAGGCTTCCTGATGATTTGCTTGGGGGGCTTCTTCATCTCCAACTCCATATTCCACTCGCAGAGGAATCTGGTCGTGGCCTACGTGCTTCTGCCTATGGGGTTTGTGGTCCTCCTGAGTGGAATTTTCTGGGGCACCTACCGCCAAGCAAACGAAAACAAAGAGATGTTCAGCCACGTGCTCAGGCGGCACCTTGCTTCCCAGGACCTGCCCCTGGCCACAATAGACAGGTACGTGCTGAGCGCCAGGGGGCATGAGAAGGGCTGAAAGGAGTCACAGTGCGGGAGGTGGAGTGAGGCAAAATACCACAGCGGATCCACTGACAGAAGGCTAGGCAGCTAGGCTCAGAGTTACGCTACTCTACTCCGCAGTTGGCTCTGGGGTTGTAGAGCAGAGCAAGGCTGCTTTCGGGTAGAAACAATGAGGTAGGAGAGAAGTTTCTCAGGGCTCAGTCCTCACGACCCTAGTAAAAACTCACATGAAACAAATTAAGGGGCACAACCCATAGGTCCTTCCTATGTTTTAGGGGTGATTTTAGTTAAAGGCAGGCGATGACCAAGTGGTCCCTATAACCTGGTTAATGAGTCATGAAGAAACTCCCAGAGCAAGTTCTGCCCACAGTGAGTGAGCAAGCAGACATCACGTCAGTCCAGCAGCTGCTGTGACTAAGTTCTAGATGACTGTCCTTGTAGGTGTCCTGATCTCACCTCGTATGAAGGACGCATTCAAGGCAAGAGGATAATGTTCATCAATGATAAAAAGGGGGGGGGGCATCATGACTATGTACACATAGTCATGTATCACTTGGCCTTAAGACAAAACAAATTAATTGGTATGTGCCCCAGATAGCTGCACCCTGAAAACATTATGGCAAGTGAAACACCCACCAGTCAGAAAAAAAACAAAACAACAACAACAAAAAAAAACCCACTGTACCATTCTGCTTACACCAAGAACTACCATAGACACAGCACGGCCACTTACCCCAAAACCAAGTAGCTAACACTACAGCCACTCACACGAGTAGCTACCACAGACAGGAAGTAGAACAGCGGCTCCCTGACCTGGCGCATGGGGGAAGATGAGGAGTTATTATTTAATGAATATGTGATTGTAGTTTGGAGTGATAAAAAAAAAAGTTCTAGGGATGGTTTGCAGCAATATAAGATCACTAATGCCCTTATGAGTAATAAATGTTAGGTTATTTATATTTTAACCAAAGGTAAAAAATAAACAAGGATTCAGGCAACTTTGTGGTTGGTTAACATAACATCAATCTTCTAATTCTTGTCCAAACACAAACCATTGTTCTTAAGGCATAGGATGTAGCTGGTGGCACTCGCCTTTAATTTCAGCACTCGGGAGGCAGAGACAGGCAGATCTCTGTGAGTTTGAGCCCAGCCTGGTCTACAAAGGGAATCCAGGACAGCCAAGGTTACACAGAGAAACCCTGTTTCATTGCCCCCCCAAAGTATAGGATATAAGAATATATAAGTCCTTTTGCCCTCTTCATGCAGGAGTAGGAAGCCATAAAATGTTTTAATTATCTCATGTCCTTTGAATGAGAGTTCTTTCACCAGTGACTCTGCATTACTGACATCCATCACACCAGAGAGAACAATCATAGAGCCCAGTTCCAAGGTCAGTTAGGCTAAGTAGGAATTCTTTGGGTTTTATTTTTCAAAAATTAAGATAACAGAGTAATTTAGAAGGTGATTCTAGTGTGATTGTGTGTGTATGTTTGTGTTTGTGTGTGTATATCGTGTGTTCATGCATGTGTGTATATGTGCTTGCATGTATATATCTGTGCATGTGTTTGTGTGTGTGTGTGTGTGTGTGTGTGTGTGTATGTGAGTATCTATATATACAGTGTGAGTTCTTGCTAATAGTAAACGATGCATCTGAAATTTACCAACCCATTCGTATATTCTCTTGTCTGGAGTATTCAAAAGTAAATCAAGAATATCTTGACACTCCCTGCTGTCCCTTCTTGCCGCATCATGAGACACTCAGCCCTCAGAGTCAAACTGGAAAGTTCCACATCTCAAAAGCTTCGTGCTCTAGCGGGTAACTAGGCAGAGTGTCCCTGTGAACATTCTGCCAGTGAGGAGATTCGTGGCAGCAGTCCTGGTGGTCTCTCAAATGGTTCCAGGGAAGAGCTCACCTTTCTGTCTCCGTGACTCAACCCTGGCTATTCCTGGGAAAGGTCAAGACTTCCATCGTACAGTAGACAGCTCCTTTAACTGTTTGGCTCTTGGCCTTGTGGTATTTGTAGTAGAGCAGTGGCTTCAAATGACAGGCCCCGTTCTGTTGTGGTTACCCACCATAAACACTCCCTTTGGCACTGGGTAGACTACCTCTATTTATATACAGTTTGTGCAAGCTCACCCTGTTTTCTTCCACTCACCCCACCCCCACCTTCATTCATGGTGGAGGAGCCAGAAGCATTTAGTAGTTAGTTGGGCAAGATGACCAACAAGTCCATCAGCTGGGGCAGGCCAGTATAGTAATGAATGGTTTTCATTCATTGATTTGTCGCTTGTGAAGATCTGAGGCTTGGAGAGCAGTGGAGTAGAAGATGAAGTGTGTGGATGGTAACAAGGATTGAGTACTGGCTAAAGAGAGGTGCCATGGTCAAACTCGCTGTGTCACCTAAAGCTGATAGGGACAGTGCACTGAATGAATGGGTCCCGACTAAAAGAGCAAGCAAGGAGGAATAGCTTGGAATACTGTCTGGAACAGGAGGGCCTGCTATGGCTGACAGGGGGTTCTTCTGGAAGGGTGCGCAGTTTTTAGAAACTGGTGACATCAGAAAAGTACATCTGTTTCAAACTGTTTCTTAGCAGTTTAGCTTCACACAGTGTGAGCTGAGAGAGGCGGACATATGCTTCCTCACCACTGAGGCCTAAATAACACATGCGTATTTGTGGCGTTGCATCCCACAGGCCTGACTTCTACCCCCCGGCTTATGAAGAAAGCCTGGATGCTGAGAAACAGGACTGCCCTACAGGCAGAGGGCTCCTAGGATTTCCTCCTCCTCTGTATACAGAGACAAGCCTTGAACTTGAAGATGAAAATGACCCACAACCAGAGGCTCCACCACCCTACCAAGAAAGCATAACGGTTACAGCAAAGGCATGGGACGCTGTGGGACCAAGCACAGCGCTCAGGGCAGGGACTGCTCTCCAGCACTCAGAACTCACCAGCTCCAGAGAAGAGAGGCTGGCCAGGGACTGGGAGGCTGCTCTGCCTGCTCTACCCTGCACTGAACCAAGGCCAGCGTGGGTTTCGGGGACTCATGTTTAGGCACCAGGAGGAAGTGGGTGCAGAGAATTCCCACAATGCCCAAGCTAGAATCTTAGACCACAGAGAAGATGTATGGCCAGGCCTTCTACCTCCCTCCTTACCTCATCACCTGAGCCCAGCCTAGGGGTGCAGCTTGTCGTTGGTAGGAATGCCACAGCCCTTCACCCACTCTGTCTGAAGAACCAAAGGTGAGAGATCCTGGGAGGCAGCCTTGGTGTCACCGACCGACCGTGCTATCTGAGTGACACCAGAGCTCACACACAGCGTGGGAGTTGTCCTAGGAACGAACGAGTGTTATTTTGTACCATTTTATTTTAAATATGTATGTTTTTTTCTACATAAAGGAGAAGAGACTGCAATATTTTGCTTTCAGATGGTTCAAACACAAAATGTTGGGTTATTTCTTAAAGAGGTCCTCAGTCAAGCACATAGGGGCTTTTACAGATTCAAGCTGACTAGATAGAATACTTAATTCGTTACACAGGGCATCAAGGGTGATGTTAATATACAACATTGTTAAAAATCTTGTGATGTTTAGAAAATGTGTATATGCACTTTCAAGACAACCCCCCCCAAAAAAAAAAATCAGAACGTAAGCAATTAAAACCTGTAAGGCCATGTCTCCATTACCAGGATTTGTGTGTGTGTGTGTGTGTCAACATAGAGAAGTAGACTTCTAGACTTAAAAACCGCGTGGTCCCCCCCTTGGCTTTATTTTCTTTGTGTGAGTTTTTAAAATCAGAGCTCATGTTGGGGAGAAGGATGTCAGCAGGACACCCAGGCCGAGGCTTTTGAATGTGGATGAGTATATTCACCTCCTGGCCTCAGGGTCTCGATGGCCTCCACACAAGTCATCTGGGTTGAGGTTGCTGTCAAACAGTGATGGCATGCCTTTCAAACAGCAGGTTGGACTTACCCTCCCATGCATATAATTTAGCCTGGGCCTCCATCCTTACAAGGTGAAGGCTATGGCCATTCTTGTTTTAGCAGTGCATCAACTGAGGCTTCGAGAATTCAGGAAATCTGTTTGATAAAACAGTGACCTCAAGGACAGTGAAGACCCTAAAGGGGTATGAGAGGCTTTACTTACCTCACACTTGAGTTAGGGCAGCTATGGTTTTGTTTTGTTTTGTTTTCCTCCTTCCAGGAAGCAGCTTAAACTTCTGTCTCCTTTTCAAAAGTGATCCTAACAGAAGGCAATGTTCCAGGTCACTGCAATATCTTCCGCCCCTGAAGAAGACACTGGGAGGCTGTAGGGTTATTGGGATTCTCACTTAAAACGTGTCAGCCTCGTTTCTTGCCTTTGAGCTGTGAGTTTCTTGCCCTCAGGGTGGAGTTTCCCAGCATCCTACTGGGGACAGCCACACTGACAGGCATAGGAGAATCTTTGAGAACTCACAGGAAAGGATAATTTTTTTTTCAAGGAAGAGTCAACCAGGTGGGACTGGGTGTCCACGGTTCCCACTTCCCTGTCAGTGCTGAGTACACAGGTTGTGAACGTCCCCGTGAACACATAAGATGCCATAAACAAAACCCTAGTCCGTGAAGTACAGCTGTGTGAATCTCTGCTTTGACTCCATGACAGTGAGGGGGATGTCTAGACATGAAGGCCGCTGGTGATCGGTTAGCAGAAAAGAGAGCGATCATCCGTTAGCCTTGAAATTTGTTACTCCTTTCTTGTCGTCTCTTTTCATCCCTCTACGGGGCAATTTGCCCTACAAGTCTGACTGACCACCATTATTGGACCTCTAACCAGATTTGCACACCAAAATAGGTGGTTTTCTGCCACTGGGGGTTGGCTCAAGCAAATGTTCAATTTGGTTTGCATAAGTTGTGTTAGTCTATGTAAGTCAATACATTTTGTATTCAGGGTCTTTTTAAAGTTTATTTTGTGGGGTTGTGTTATACATACATGTGTATATCCACGAGTGCATGTGCGGGCGCACGCACAGGGTAGTCAGGGGTTGCTCTTTCACATAGGGTTGGCTGACAGGTGAATTTCCATGGATCTTCCTGCTGTACCTGGCACAAGGGAGGATTCAAGCTAGCTCCTCATGCTTTCACAGCAAACATGCTTACCCACTGGCCCACCTCTGTGTTACCTCTGACTTCCCTTCCTTTTTTTTCTTTCTGTCACCTTTTGTATCAGGAAGAATCAGTAGAGGAACATAAATCATAGTAGCATTCTCCACAGTATCAAGATGACTTCATATTTCTTCAAACCTAAGCATAACTGACACCAGCCCTTGATTCAGAAAACAACCTGGTTCTTTCCTTTTCAAAAAAGAATATGAAAGTTGGGCTGATAGCACACACCTGTAACCCAAGTGCTTGTGACGTAGAAGCTGGAGGATCAGGAGTTCAAGTCTGCCTTGGTTACATAGTAAGTTAGAAGCCAGCCTGGGCTACACAAAACTCTGTTAAGAAAGAAAGGAGAGGAGGGAGAAAGAGGGAGAAGGAAAAAAAGAAAAAGAAAGAAAGAAAAACAGCACTAATTTATGTTTTTTTGACATGTTTCTAAAACACATGTACTCTGATTCAAGAGTCAAGAATCTGGGCATTATGCAAAGCAGTCCTGTACTTTAGAATCCCATCAACTAAAATCCAGTGGGCAAGTCAAACAAATGTGCCCTCTTGTAGCAACGATACATCACTATCCCCTAAAGGATGCACTAAAGCAGCTCTGGCATCTTCATTCTTTCTCAGGTTTGGGATCAAATGAAATGTTGCTGGGTTAAGAGGCATGGTTCCATGGATAGAGGAGGGCATTTGGACTATGAGACAATGAAGAGAAGAAAGTCTCCATGGCGGAGACTGTTACTCATTCTTTCTCATCTCCAGTGGGAATGCTATCCACACCCCAACTTGTAGTTTTTTATATTGTTCCTTTGATCAACCATTTTAGTGATTACCACCAGCACCTAGAAGATCAAGATGGCAAGATCAGTATAGAGCATACAATGCTGGCTAGGTCTTTGAATATCTGAGTTGTACTGGGCTCCATTCTGACCCCTTTGTGTGTAAAAACTCACACATGTTTTTTTTTACTGATACACCTGTTTATCCATCAAGCTTTTACTTAAGTCTCTCTCTCTCTCTCTCCCTCTCTCTCTCTCTCTTTCTCGTGTGTGTGTGTGTGTGTGTGTGTGTGTGTGTGTGTGTGTGTGTGGTAAAGTATCATTTAAGCTCACTTACATGGCATAGCACATGCCAAGCACTGAAAGAAGTGAAAGAATCGTGGGTTTGTAACCTATGTCTCTACTGTGTTTTATAAAGTTTCATGACGACTCAGGGTTACTCACACACCAGTGAGCTGTCAGCTGCATGAAATATTTCTGTGGGTAAAGCCTCCAACTGGTTGAGTGAACCAGGCATTCTCTTAAACTCTGCTGCCTCAGATAATCTCTTGCAGTTTGGAACCGTTGATGATCCAAACACTGATTTATTAGCCTCAGGCATGGACTTGTCTTACTGTCATTATCAATTCCACAAATGCTTCTCATCCTCTTCATCAACTGTAGAATATGGATCTGGCCACCAAAAATCTCAAGCCTTATATTGACCCATGGGTGGCCAAAGTCATGATACTGTTATTCTTGCCATGATTTCAGGGTAGCCAGATCTAGCTCAGGATTCCATCAAGCATGGCAATCAGTCTAAACCTTCTATGTGAAAGCATTCATGACTTTCAAATATGATGGATGGATCAGCAATTAGCAACAGCATGATCTGATAAATGTTCTCTCTTTAAAGATGGCTACCCTTATGTATATGTGTGAATGCATATGCGCAGGCCAGAGGTCAATAGTTTCGAGACAATTTACCATCTGAGCCATCTTCATAGCCTTCCCCCCACCCCACCCCACCCTGTTTTTTAAAGGATGATGAAGTTCAAGAACCTTGGATGAAACAAAGCAACCTTTTGTTTTGAGGAAATGGCTGACACCAGGCAGGCGCAGTTCCTCCTATAAATGCCTTCCTGCCATTATTATACACACACATTTCCAAATCTCCTAGGTGAGTGGGGTGAGATCCTGGGTGAGAACCACTGTGTACATACAGTGGCTTGCCACTTTCCAGAGGTATGTGTTGCAGTGAGGAGAGCCCTCAGTGCTAGAAGATCACAGAGTCTTAAGAAGATCACCACCATCTTAAGGGCTGGTTTTTGGCCCTTCATTTTTAAAACCAAGAGGAGCATCACAAAGGACATGGTGTGCAGCTGGCTTTAATCTCTCATGAGAACAAGAAAACATGCACGCGATCTTGGGTTAAGGCAGACATAAAAGCTCATAAATGTACACATGAGAGGGTCCAGAGACAGGCCGTGTCCTAGAATCACCAAGAGAAATGTGCTGTTTGTTAAAACAACTGAGAGAAAATAGTGGCCGTTCAGATCTGCTGCCTCTCATGTCATATCCTGTGTCTGCCTGAATGTCACCCATCACACCAACCTCTGGCCCCCAAGGTCAACTTTTTCTGTAAGTCCTGGCTAGCAATGACTGTTGTGTCTTGCTGCTGCCATTCACCTCTGGCAAATTCTACAAATGTTTACGGATCCAAAGAAACCCTATACCTAAAGAAAAGTCTCCTGTTCTCAATGTCCCATCATTTCTGACTCAGTTACCTCTATGTATCCCCATAGCTTATGCCTGCACTTCTACTGTAATTTCTATGCCTCCCCAATTATTTGTGGGTTTTGTCACGGCCAACTCTCCCCAAATTGTAAATTCCTAAGAGCACGAATAACTAACTTCATCCATCTTCCTGCTCCATAGAAGAGAGGAATGTGTTTGAAGTAGCTACACAACCAGTGTTTGATGAATGGATAAATGAATAAATGAATGAATGAGCAAATAAGTTGATAGGTGACCATGAAGTGGGCTACTCCATGCACATAAAAAAAGGAGAACAGAATGTGTAAGTAGAATAACTTGATCTTAAAAGCTAGAGTTGATTTAAGTTCAGGAACTGGAGAAAAAAATATTTGCTTGCTCAGCTAGAGCTGATAAGCCAAAGGATCTGTCAGATTGCACTGACAACACGTCCCACAGCGGGTGAATGGACGGATGTTATCAGGGACCTTTACTCCAGAGATAGTGAGAATGCAAGCTACAAGGCAAAGTTTTCCATTCGTTATATATGATTTTTAAAAAATAATCCCAGCTAAAACCCACTTTCCAATTATTCTGAAATAAACACTGTTATGGTGAAAGACTGGATGCCATTTTAATTTTTGTTGAATCCCAAAACCAATTTTGAGCAATTCAATTTTTTTTTCCTGTCCTATTATTAAAATCTGTTCCCCAAGTCATCAGAACGAACAACAGCCCCTGCCAGTGCTCTGAATGACTGATTTACCAGGACAGGCGGCCACTACTAGAATTGCAAAGTGGCAAGAGGCACAAATGAACAGGAGCCCACAATCTTGTATGGAGGTTAACATAAGAAGTTCTGTTTTATTGGCTTCTAAATGTTCTAGCAAGTTTTTGACAGAAGCACAGAGCAAAAAGGGAAACAAACACCTTGCTGGGAATGTTTCCTTGCAGCACTGACCTTGAAGGCAGCAATCATGCCTTGCTTAACAGTGAAGGGTCACTAGGTCATCTCCGCAAATGGTGTGATAAGTGGATCTGCCCTTCCCAAGGCAGGCAAACAGAAACAAGCCCATCCCGTGCCTGCCTGAGGACTCTGCCCCTGTCTGTGTGCCCGCTGGAGCTGCCAGGTTCCTTTCTCCCCCAGGCAAAGAAAGCCAGCTGTGACAATCCACTTCTCTGTCTCATTGGACCCACAACTACCCCACCAATTATCCCAGGCCCTTTTGCTCTCCTTCATCAATCCGCTGTGACCAAGATCAGAACACAGCACGGTGGTATTCTTCCTGGAAGGATTTACGCAAACTCATGTATTGGCTTCCATGACATAATCAAAGAAGCCTCCCCTTCTTTTTCAGTCTTTTCTAGAAAATCCTTCCCCGACTGCACAGGAAATGGCTACATTCAGAGGGATGAAGCCAGCTTGGTAGCTAAATTAATACCGTATACAAAAGAAGAGAGAGGAAAACACCCTTTTATATGTCTTGTTGGAGGTGTGTCACTGTGAATTAAAGAAAATTCTAGATGAGTGGAAAGAGTGGTGCAGAGACGTAGGGAGGCTGGGGAGCATGGACCATTGGACGGGCTGGTGGGAGAGGGGTGTGTCCTAGAAGTCCTAAACCTTCACCGTGATCAGGAATACAACGCTGAGTCCTCCTCCATGTTGCTGAGGTCTTTCCCCTGCCCTGAACTTAGAATCAGCTTAATTCTGCATTCTCTCTCTCTCTCTCTTTCTTGCTCTCTCTCCTCTTAGAATCTTTTTCTCACAAGACACCAGAACTACTTCCCTAGTGCACCTATCTTTCTAGAGAGGGGAAGCCCATGGCTGTAAGGAAATAGAGATATTAAACAATAGTGAAGCTCTAACAGACAACTAAAGACCCTGCTGCATTTGGAGGAACTGGACAAATCAAAACAAAAGGGGTGCTTCCCCCATTCCCACCCTCCTTTCACCCCCCCCCAATCCCAACAGCCGAATAGCTTTTGTTTTTACAAAGTCCTAAGAGGCACAAACAGGAAGCAAAAAGGCACGGTGAAGCATCTTTCTGAGTGCTCTTCTGCCCTGTGCTCAGGTGATGACAGTGGGTCCCCTCCGGCCAGTTCTCTCATGAATCTGGGATATTTTCAGCGCGATGGCTATGAGAGGGCTCAGCACTGCCTGGAAAAAAGAAAAGAAAGAAAAGAAAAGAGAAAAGAAGAAGGGTGATGATCAATTTGAGATCAGCTACAATACTGGTTTTGGATGGATTTCTACCTCAGAGGTGTGAACTCAGATTGCATTTTGCATTTTGTCGGCAATGGCTGGGATGGGCAGGACACAGAGGCAGGGCAGGAAAACTGCCTATTGTTAAACAAGACTGTGAATTCAGGAAATCTGGCAAACCGCCATTCCTCCTCTGGCACATTAATCCCTTCCAAAGGTTAGCCCCAACAAACATTTCCCCCCATTCAGTGTGAAAGCAAAGCTCATCGCTCATCCTCCCACCATCCTGATGATTGAGAGAAGATGGCACCAGGCTAACACCGTAGAATTAGTGGGTCCATCTTCCTATCCTATCCCATCCTGGATCCTGGTCTTCTTCATTATTCCCAGATGGGTGGGGGTGGTTTACAGAGCATTGCAACACAGTCCAGCAAAGGACCAAGGGTCACTTCTTGACCTTTAATCGCACGTTTGGTTTCTGAAGAGTGGTGCTCATTCCCCACACACACCCACAGACATAAATTAGAAAGCAGCGAGGAAGCTGTTCTGTCTGCATTCTTCAGCTCTGATACTCCCACAAACAAGAATTTATTGCTGACCTTTAGCACTTTAAAGAGTTACCTCACCTGAAGACATTCTTGTGTGTATTTTTAGTAAATTTATGTGCACGGCACATTTATCAGGCGATATTGTTTTTCCACGTGGATTACTGATCTAAGCATATACATAAAGTATGTATATATAAAGTCCATTTAAAGACGAAATTCAAAACAAAGGTATTGATAGGGAAGAATTGGGCAGTAGTGGAATAAGGGAATAAGTAAAGATCCCATAATTCTGGAAAATAAAGCCTGTGCTGAGAGAGGGGGCACCCTGTTCCTAGCAACCTAACCTGTTCCTGGCAGATAAAAGCATGAAGGATGTTCAAGTGTTGCAGTCAGACAGAAAGACACTCACAGGGCACAGATAGGACAAGCAGCTGGGTGTGCAGTGAGTACATAAAGAATCCTAAGAGACTGAAAAGCCAGTCTGGTGTGAGAGGACCCAAATGTTAGGTGGGGTGCACCAATTTAATTCACCATGCAATGGGGGATGCTACCAACCTTGGAGCCAGAGGCTCCATGGTCAGAGCAGTGAAAGTATTAACCTAGGGGCATTTCTAGTAAGGTATTTCTTTTGGGCTATTGCGTATAATTAAATTGCACCACCTCAATAATGAACAACCACAGAATAATTTCACGTCATTCAAATAATTAAACCGAAATAATTTCAATATAACTATGTAAATAAACGTAAGGTGTGAGTACGCACACAGAGGGGTTTTTCTAAGAAAATAATGAAAGTCAGCACTTTAGAGACAACAGAGAATGATGATTCGCTGAATTAGATATGTGTGATAGACTGTAAAATATTGATGAGCAGTCCATGAGTGTAAAAGAATTCTCCAGCTTGCTTCTCAGTTTCGTTTGGCTTCCAGTGGTACTAAATAGGAGTAAAAGCTGGACCTTATAGAAGGTGAAACAGGGTCACAATTCTAAACAGTGTATTCGAAGAGAAATGTCTTGACCCAAAACTAATGACTGGGTTATGAGCACATAGATCTACACGTGTGACGTGTATGCATACAGTGACTTCTGTGAAGTCTTTCTGTCTTAAAGAGCCAAACCTGTCTCAAGCTCTGATTGTATCAGGCATGGGGCCGTCAGTGGCAATCAGGCCAGCTCATGGAAGCAGATCATGGTGACTCCTTTACCTTTCATGTTAACTGGTAGCCCTTACTCAAAGTGCTTGGAAACATGCTTCCAATTACTTTTCTATCTTTTTTGTTTATTTGGGAGTGTATGCATAAATAATGAAATATCTTGGGTTGGAACCCAAGTCTAAAGGCAAAATTCATTTTTGTTTTTCACATATGCTTTTTTTTTTTTGACACATGCCCTGAGGTAATTTTATAATACATCTTCACTTTGATTGTGACCATATCACATGAGTCAGAGAGTAGAATTTTCAACTTCTAGCACATTAGGCTCAGTTAAGAAATTGGGAGCATTTTAGGCCTTGGGTCTTCGGGGTCCACGTGCCATACCTTTACCACAGGGTCTGTTAGCATGGCTAGAGCACTTTTTGTTGAGTCTTTCTTCCTTCCCAAACTGCTGTCATCAAACCTTCTGGTCCTATTCTCACAGTAGCTCCTCACCCATATTCCTCTCCTCCTAGATTTTTCCCTAATATGGTTTCCTGGTGTTCTTGGTTCTTAGGTGACAATCAGCTTCTCCCACCCTTGTCACACCAAGCTTTCTGGAAATGATCTTCTGATGTGTAGGTCTCAGAAGGCTTCTCAAAGTGTGGCTAGCCATTCTCATTGTGGCTGCCGGGCTCCCGGTGTTCTTATGATCCTTAACACCTCCCCCGACTTCATGCCATCTAACTATCGTTATCCTAATGTACCTAAAACCAATCAAAGCGGACAAGAAAAAAAAAATCCCTATAGATAAACCAGAATTCAGAACTCAACACTAAAAGAATCAAATAACAAAACAGGCCTCCATAAAAATTCTTCTGAGGGAAAATCCCTCTCTAGATTGAAGTAGAGAAAATACTTCCAATGAGATTCATCAAAGCAAAACCAAGCCAGTGTTCTGGGAGCTCAATGTGACACTCACAAAAGCCACACAGGCAGGTGGGGTCATCCCCCTTTTCTACCCCCTTCCCCACTTTTGCCATTGATCTAGGTCTTTAGCTAAGAGATGTCATTTAATTTATGAACCTACCAAAAAAAATGAGGATTGTGAAGACAACTGTCCTATTTATTCACGTGTGAGCTCCATTTGCTTCCCACATGGAGGCCTCTGTAGAACATGGGGTAGGAGTAAGCAACTAGGCCAGCTCACTTTTCATCCCACCAGGCGCACCATAAAGGGATGGGGAATTACCAACGGGTTTAGATCCCCGTATGTCCTCCCAAAGATTCCCACTATGTCCTCACATTCCTATAAACTGAGTATGTCCACAGAACACTTCAAATTTTCCTTTGTGTGGAATATACTAGTTTAATGGGAAAAGACCCCCTACCTCTCACAAAAATTTTTAGAAGAAATAGAGCTAAAAGACTGAAACCAGAAGTTAAAATAAAAGGACTGTAATCTGTAAAGTCTGTTATTGTGAGCCTTTCCTCTCCCTCCCCTCTGAGGCTGCAGAAAGTGGGCTACACAGGTTCCTCTGTCGTTTATAGCGATCTGACTCCCTATGGTTGCAACATTGACATGCTTAGCTTGGATACTCTGCTTACAGAGCTTTGTTCCTTTAAAAAAAAAAAAAAAGATGCCAAAGCATCCACAGGTCAGCAGCCTGCTACCCAAAGGACCAGCCAAGAATCATCCAAGGATACTGTTGTGAGTTCTAGTCAGAGAGTGTTTGTGCTCCTGATTCCTGAAATGTGTAACTCTGACAAGCTTCCACATGACCCTGATGTATACCTAGGTCTAGGTCTGAAGCCCTCTTTTGCAGCATTGTGTTCCTTTTCCTAGGACAGGCGGAACAGGGTAGTGGTTAAATGGGCTTTGAAGCCCAGCTTCCCTGGATTGACTGGCTCTACCCCTCATGAGCTGTGTGACCTGGGTAAGTCACTTAACCTCAGACACAGGTAGGAAACAGGACAGTCCCAGCACACAGGGCAGATACATAAGTGATTATTATTATTTTAAAACCTGGAAAGGAGCTGAAACACGCAAACTGGCAGTCAAGCGGCTGCTTAGGACACTCTGACATTTTATTATAAAATCACCACATACTTTCTCAAATGTCAAACAAATTCTAGTTCAAAACAGCAGTGTCCTGTTATCATGTCCTACTGTCCTTTCTGCTCTGCTGAGTTGTCAGCCTGTCATTTGGATTTTTGACCCCGGGGATTGCCAAGAGGACCATGCCCTGCATTCCCAGTGGCCCTTCCTGAGAAGCTGGCCTCTGCAGTGATATGGTGGGTGTGTCATCAGTGTGGTGTGTAAATGCACGGAGCTATTCCTGAATGCAGAGACACAGTAAACACATACTTGAAAGCTTCTGGCCAGAAATATCCTCCCTGGCTTGGCTTGAGGGATACAAATTCCATGCTACTATTTACACATGGTTTGAGCTTGTCCCCAAGGAACCACGTATTAAAAACTTATCCTTGGGTGGTGATGTTGAGAGACGGTGGGCCTTTAAAGGACAGAGCCTAGTGTTAGGTTCTTAAACAAACTGTTGGTATGCCCTCAAAGGGACTTTGGGAACACAGCCTCTCTGGCTTCCTGGGTAGAGATGGGATCCCTTCATTTGATACCTGTACCTGCTATGACACGATCTTCTGGTAGGCCCAGAGGCAGAACAAATGGGGCTGCCAGATCTTGGACTTGTAGCCTTCCAAACTGAGCCATAATGACCTCATTTTCATAAGCCTTCTACTAAGATTTTGGAGTTGTTAGTTTTCCACAGCATTCAGTTCATCCTGACTGATGACATCACTATTCACTATTACATAACAAAAAATGCCATCTCAAAAGCAATTTCCAAACCAGAAGTTATGAGGAAAGAGACAGTGTGCTGGACCCTCTGTGCTGTTGAAGGGCTTTGGCTCTTAGACCTGGGCCCATATTTATTATACTGGATACCCTGAAGGTCACTGCGATAGGTCAGAGATACATGCCTCCCAATGATCCATGTGTTTAAAGTCTTGGTCTTCAGTGTGGCACCTCTGGGAGAGGGGGTCTTGTGGGAGGTCATGTCATCACCGGGACATGAACTTTAAAGAGAGTATGGGACCCCAGCCTTCCTTTTCTTCACCTTTTGCCTTCTAGCCTTGAGGTGGGCAGTTAGTGCTGTCATTGTTATCTAACACCTTCACCCGGGTCCTGAAATCAATGGGTCTTCAGTCCTGAGCCCTCTAAAACTATGAGCCAAAAATATACCATGTCTCCTTC